GTGGGCGTCAACGCCGTGTCCCGCAGCTATGCGGCCGCCGAGACCTACCTGCGGCGGCGGCAGCTACTGCTCCGGGGTGAGTTGGTCAGCTACCCCCACCCCACGTACACCGACCCCCCCTCCCATCCCCGCCAACCCTGCCACTTCCCGGTCAGTGTGCCAGGTCTGGGAGCCCCTGTCCAATTCTTGGAGCCTTTCCAAGTAGAGTCTGTGCGGACAGGTGACTTCGGGATGTGAAGACACCCCCTCTGGGTCTGGACCCACCCACTGGGCACCCACCACCTACCTAATCCTGGCCAAGCAGGTCTTTCCAGAGACCCCTTTCTCTGGTCTGAGTGCCCCCTTCCAGAACAGAGACACCTTCGACTAAGAACCTATGTGGTGGGTTCTCCTGGTCTGCTGTCTGGGGGGATACCTGAGTGGAGCAGGAGAGTATCCTCAGGATTTCTCTCTAGCCCCAATCCTAGGGTCTTGGACTCTCAAAGATCACTGTCTCAAGTGCCACCCATGGCCCCTCCCTCGGCTGTCCACCCACCTCCTGTGTTAACGTGAAGTTTTTCCCTGGGTGGAAGTCCTGGTGGTATTTGCAGGTAAGAGGTGGGAATGCCTTCAAAAGCAGGAGACTTGGGGAGCATCATTCCAAGCTGAGAGCCTTGGGTTTGGCGTGTTCTTAAGGGGCTCTGAACCCCAGACCCGCAGAAGCAGGCCAGGAACCACAGAGAGAGGAGTCTGTTCCCAGCACCATGTGCTGTGACTGCAGAGGGCTTCTGGTCTTTGCTCTGGAGGCCACTTCCTGTCTAAGCCAGACCTCACCATACCTGACCTCACTGTCTCTGACTGCAGAATGGACAGAGGCAGAAGCCAATGCAGACCCTACCCCAGCCTGCTTTTTGTTCAGGACTGCACAGAGTAGGCACTTTGCCTACAGCCGTGTATCTTGTCCCCAAGGGCCCCCAGGTGCCGGGGCTCTCCTGTGACCAGCTGTAGAAACCCAAACTCAAGAGAGCTATAGGGTGGAGCAGGAAGGGGCTGCAGTCACTTCCTTTTCCTTGCTACTCACAGGAAATTGGGGCTGCTCCTACCCTACATTAACCAGTGGCAGCTTCTTTTGAGTCACTAGAGAGGCTGCTGTGTGTGTTCTAGGGAGGTTCTATTTCTTTCTGGGCCTCTGGGACCCATATGTGAAATGAACTGAGGGAGTCCCAGGCTCAGTACAAACCTACTGAGCCTCCAGAGTCACCCCATCCTTCCTCCTGGGGTTATGATCTCCTGTTCATCCTCTAGGTGCTACGGAGCCTTGGGAGGTCTTGATTCTATATTTCATCCCCTGAATTCAGCCTCCTCCATGCAGCCATCCAGTTGATTACTTTTTTCAAGTCTCTGACCCTTCCTTCTGCCCTGCACAAACCTCTATCTTGGGCTTCGAGTGCCCTCTTCTGATTATAATCGCCACCCCACCCGGCTAGGGGTGCTGAGGCCTGGGGTGTCCTCTGAACCAGATTATGGGGACTGCCAAAGTAGAGAGCGGTTTGAGAAGCAGTACATTAAAATACCACCAGAGGGCGCTAGTGCCCCGCGGATCCGTAAGAGGCAACTCCCCCAACTTAGAAATCCTAAGTGGGATTCTTTCTGAGGCAAAAAGAGGTCCCTGCAGCCCCAGGGTCATACCTCAGCCCTGAATCCCGTGGTGCCTGGAGTGTCCCCAGCAGTAGGCTCTATCTGTGAGCTCACCGGGCTGGGTGTGCCGAAGTGAATATAAGGGTTGGCTTAAGGGCATTAGAACTTTACCAGAGGAACTTGAAATTGCGAAAAGAACATCTGATGGAGCTGACCCACAAGGCGCAGCAGACCTCTCCTGTCTCGACTTTTCCCCTCAGCATTGTATTTGAGTAGATCCACCCTTTCTGCTCCCCAGTCTCTGGTAAACCCTCTCACCCCCCTCACCTATGGCCTACACCCCAGTCTTCTACAAAATAAACAAGTAAATACATAAATACTTTTAAAAGTCTGGTTAGTAAGAACAGCTCCTGTAAAAGCTTCAAGGCCAGACCCCACCGAGTGGTGGGTGGCAAGTTGGAGGGTTTTGATGACCCGGGAACGAGGTTCTAGATAAGGTTGAATTGGAGCTACATCAGGATTCAAGCACAGCCCTCTCAGATGTGGAAAGATTTAGGAGATCGTCATTAGTGCTGGGTTCCCCAGCCGATTGACACCGGAATCACAGGAGGGGAGTCGAGGGAGAATGCACTCACCCCCTTCTCCCTCTGCCCTGGCACGGGGGTGAGGGGTGGGGGGGGGGAATGGGCCCGGTGCAGTTCTAGGCTCCGGAGAGAGGCTCCACCTACTTGCTTGCCCCCCTCTCTTTCCCCCTTCCCCCTAACACAAGGGAAAACTGAGGCCCCAGTTAATCCTAGGCTCTCAGGGCTCCCAGTGGGGCCAAACCACCATCACTCACTCACACACACAGAGGCAGACGCGCGCACGCGCGCGCACACACACACCCCACTTCTGCCGGGACATGCCTCCAGTCACGTCTGCAAGTGGTGGCTAGTTAATGATTACAGCGAGAGACGGAACGCTCTCGCAAGGCGACCCGCAGGCCCAGGTCCAGCCTCTAGGGTACAGTTTACACTATTTAGCCGGGGGTCCGAAAGAGACTAGCTCTGGTCCCCAATACTTGAGGTTAACCCTGGGATCAGGAAGGCAGGCAGCAGCCGGCAGGAAAGAGGGCGTTTTGTTATTTTGCTCCACGCCTGGACGGAGCCACCCCCTCACCTCCCCATTGGCGCGTTCTCTTAGGGGCGTGGTCCGCGGCCAGTTTCCGCCCCGCCCGCCGTATAAAGGCGTCGCCGGCGCAGGGCTCGGAGACTCTGGCCCGCTGGGCGAGTGCGCTTGCGTGCACCCGCGAGTGGCTTACTGAAGCTGCAGTGTCGGAACCTGGGGCGGTTCAGTCGTGGGTTCGAGTCCAGGGTCTTCGCTTCGCTGGTTCGTACCCTTGGCCACGATGCTGTTCGACAAGGTGAAGGCGTTCTCAGTACAGCTGGATGGCGCGAGTGCGGGCGCCGAACCCGTGTTCTGCGGCGGTCAGGCCGTCGCCGGCCGGGTGCGACTGGAGCTTTCCGGCCCGGCTCGCGTAGGCACGCTAAAGCTGCGCGCACGGGGCCGAGCCCACGTGCACTGGACCGAATCCCGCAGCGCAGGCTCGAGCACCGCATACACGCAGAGCTACAGTGAGCGTGTGGAGGTCGTGAGCCACCGAGCTACGCTGCTCGCTCCAGGTAGGAGCCTGGGACCCGGGCGCAGTGCTCCCGCTGCGTGCGCTCTGGGAACTTGGCCCCTGAGCCGCTCCCTCTTGCTCCTACAGACACCGGAGAGATCACGACGCTACCTCCTGGACGCCACGAGTTCCCATTCAGTTTCCAGCTGCCCCCGTAAGTCATTTGGGGTGCTGGACATGGGAGAGTACCAAGACCTACAGCCCCCTCCAGATTTGGCTCCGTTTCTGGGAACCCCGGAACCCTAAGACTGTCTTCCCCGGGGACTCTCAGGGATGTCTGTGTGTGTCACCCCCCTAAGTCTTTGGTGTCCCTCTCCCAGGGGCCTGCCCAACACTCCCCATAAAGCCTAGGATTACCCTGGGCCTCAATTTACCCATTTGTACACCTGGCTCTGTATCTCCCCCCTGAAGCACCTTTCCTATCCCCCAGGACCCTGGTGACCTCATTTGAGGGCAAACACGGCAGTGTCCGATATTGCATCAAGGCCACCCTGCACCGACCCTGGGTCCCTGCCCGAAGGGCAAGGAAGGTATTCACTGTCATTGAGCCGGTGGACATCAACACACCAGCCTTGCTGGTGAGTGGCTGATTCCAGGGAAGTGGGACCGGACCACCACAGGCAGGTGCCTGGCTTATTTCACAAAGTAGAGTTCCCACTTGGGTCCTGGCAGGGAGGGAGGCAGCATAGGAGTGCCTTTGGAGACCTTTGGAGCTGGGTGCCAATCTGCTCTGTGACTCTGGGCAAGTATTTCACGCTCTCTGAGTTTCAAATGCCTCCTCTGAAATACAGTTTCGCCAGAGCTTGCAATCATAATGACTTACTGAGCACTAATTATACACTAAGTCCTTGCCTTGTTCATTTTGTTTTCAGCTTAACGATATGGATAGTATCCTTGAGGCATTTTATAGATAGTTCCTGGCTTGTTAGAAGAAATCAGGCTTTGTCCCAAGTCTTCCCTCAGCTGGGGGGGATTGGAAGCTACGCAGTTGGTGGATGCACAAAGTGATCCATTCATGTACCTTTTCTGTACCCCAGGCCCCTCAGGCTGGAGCACGGGAGAAGGTCGCCCGATCCTGGTACAGTAACCGAGGCCTCGTCTCCCTTTCAGCCAAGATTGACCGCAAGGGCTATACACCAGGTAACAGGCTAGAGGGGCTGGATCGGGAAAGAAGATAATGTTGGGGCTGCAGGTGGGGAAACTGAAGCCCTGCTGTTCCCACCACAGGTGAGGTCATTCCCGTCTTTGCTGAAATTGACAACAGCTCCACCCGCCCAGTGCTGCCCAGGGCCGCCGTGGTCCAGACACAGACCTTCATGGCTCGAGGTGCCCGGAAGCAGAAACGAGCTGTAGTGGCCAGTCTCTCTGGCGAGCCTGTGGGCCCCGGGCGGCGGGTGCTGTGGCAGGGCCGGGCACTGCGAATCCCCCCTGTCGGTCCGTCCATCCTGGACTGCCGTGTGCTGCACGTGGACTACGCCCTCAAGGTAGAGTATCCTGGTGGTCCTAGTTGGTGAGGTGACCGCTTCTGCTTGGTTTCCCAGGCCCGGGTTTCCCAAACCTTCTGGTCTTGCTCCAGCATGGTTCCTCCTCCAGGTCTGTGTGGACATCCCGGGCACATCCAAGCTGCTCCTGGAGCTGCCACTGGTCATCGGCACCATCCCCCTGCACCCTTTTGGCAGTCGCTCTTCCAGTGTGGGCAGCCATGCCAGCTTCCTGCTGGACTGGGGGCTGGGAGCCCTCCCAGAGCCTCCTGAGGGTAAGCCCCCTGGCCTGCTTGTCAGGTGACTTTCCCTTCCCCAGCTTCACGGCTCCCCCACCTCTAAAAACACACGGTTATCCTCCTAGTGGCGGTGGGTGCCCCCAGAGCCCAGCCTGCGACCACAGCCTGGTAGCCCCGGGCTTCTGGCCCCTGTCCTCGGTTCTGGAGTGAGCCCCGCCCCCAGGCTGAGCTGCGTCTCTCGTCTCCCTTCCAGCCCCTCCTGAGTATTCGGAGGTGGTAGCAGAAGAGGCCGTGGCAGCTTCGGCACAGAGCCCCTTCCCGGAGCTGCGGGACCACCACATGAACCTGGAAGGCCCTTTCTTCGCCTACATTCAGGAATTCCGCTACCGCCCACCACCCCTATACTCAGAGGTGAGCTCAGGGCTCTGGGAACCCCTGCAGCTGTCGGGGCCCTGGGATTTGAGATGTGGGCTTCTGAGACACCGACGGCTCGTAAACGTTACAGGAACTGTCACGCGTAGACGGCACAGCCCAGACCCACCTGTGAGCCCTGTCTGCTCGAAGTGCCACTCACCCCTGGCTGCCCACATGTGGGAGGGCCAGGGAGGGGCGTTTCTGGCCGTGGGTTCCCCCAACACTGGACAGGACCATTTTCTACAGGAGGATCCAAACCCGCCCTCCGAGGCCCTGAGGCCACGCTGCATGACCTGCTGAGGGGCAAACGACTCCCTTGAAGGACAAGGTTACGCACATGCTTCCAGCCACCATGGACCCGGGAGGGCTGGGTCAAGGAGACCAGCCTGACTGCACTGGATTTGGGGAAACTAAGTCTTGGACAGAGACAGGGCTGTTTCAGCGCCACGGATGAGGAAGAGCCAGGCTGAAGTCTGGCTTGTTCGGACTGGCCATCCACATCAGGCATCCAGTGCCCAGCATAGGATAGGATGCCACCTGTGCCAGCTTCTGGGTAGGACTGAGGCCCCGTGACTGTCTAGTCTGATGGAGACAGAGCCGTGCAGTCTCATGGGACCAGAGGAAGGGGCTCAGCTGGAAGAGTCCCAAGAGGGAGCAAAGACGACTTCTGGGAGGAGAGGGCTCAGGCCTTGGTGTATGACCAGTAGCTCAACAGGAAGGCAGGCGAGAGGGAGGAGTCAGAAGGGCAGAACTGAGTCAGGCCTGGAGACTGCCGCCTTCACCTCAGCCCTGGATCGAGGCAGCAAGTGCCTTGGGCAGACGCACGACACGGTTCTCAGGAACAGGCGCTCAGGGAGGCCAGTGGTAGGAGCTTAGTGGGGTGGCCGCCCCAACTCTGAAGCTTTGGAGAGCCCACTAGTGATTCTGTCCAAGCTGGAGGACTTGAGGGTCCTCCAAGTACTGCAGGGCATGAGAATCAATCTGGGCCCTGGGGACAAAGGTCAGCCTGCGGTGACCAGCAGGGCAGGGGAGACTCCCGTGTCCTGGAGTGACAAAGCATGAGGGAGAGCTCAGAAGCTCCCAAATGGAGAGTTCCAGCCCCAGGTGGGCAGTGTGCTGCCTGGGACGCAGCATTTACGATAAGCCTTAAGTCATTCTCTTTTGTACAATTACTTTTTTTAAATAAAAATATGGAGGAAAACACTGGACTTGCTGGTTTCTTTACCCCCGAGCCACCGAGGAAGCTGGGATGCCCTCGACCACCATCCCAGGTCAGGGTCTTCCAAGCCCAGGAAGCTTATGGGACCCGTGTCCCAGAAGGGGAAACCGAGGCCCAAGAATGCAGAAGAGCTGAGGTTGGCATAGGCCCCCACGTTAGTTACAGTCTGGGAACCTGAATGATGGGGTGCAGAGACCTACTGGCAAATGGAGTGGGGCGGGGTAAGGGGTGTCCCCGGTACAGAAGCGGCCTACCTATCTGAATCTAGCTTATTTTTATTTTAATTAAGGTGCAATTCACATACCTTCAAATTATCCTTACTGTAGACAACTCTAGCATTTAGGATATTCATAATAATATGAAATCACCATCTCCGTCTAGTTCAGAATAGTCTCTCACCCCGAAGGAGAGCCATACCCATGAGCAGTCCCCACCTACCTCGATCTGCTTCTGTCTGGATTTGCCTTTTCTGGGCCTTTCATATGAATGGATCACACTGGCTTCTTGTGTCTGGCCTCTCACTCAGCATTTTCTTGAGGTTCATCCACATTGTAACAAGTGTCAGGCTTCACTCCCTTTGATGGCTGGGCCACACTGTTTACTCAGTTGATTGGGGTGTGTGTGGGGGGTTCCCATGTTTGGCCCTCAGTACAGGGCTGCTTTAGAAGTGAGTGGCAAGAATTTGTTTGGATAGTCACTGGGCTCACGGCAGCCCTCATGGCCTCAAGGCTGTCATTTTCTGGGGCTACCTGTCTAGGGTCCCACAGTCAGGACTGATGGAGTCACCCTCAAACCAGGCCCTGGAACTCTGGAGTCCATACCCCTACCACCCAAGTGACACCCACTAGATCCTCCCACTGGATCAGCACTCAGGCTCTACCCCAGACCCTACCCGAGGCCCCACCCTTTGTAGGAAGTGAAATTAGAATTCTGGTCATTGTGCCCACCAGCCTGCCCAAGGAGTGAAATTAGCAGCCCAGGGTGCCATTGTCAGGGTCCAGGGACAAGGGTGGAGACGGGGCTGGGGGGGTGGGGTGCCAGGGGCTGAGTATTCAGATATCTGGGTACAAGTTTCCATTGGAGGCTCAGTTTCCCCATTGAGACTAGACTATCTCCCCTCCACAGCACCCTGCTACCCTTTACCAGGTTTGAGTCTGTCCTGTTACTTCCAGCTGTGATCCTGAGGCCCACCCCCCCAACCCCCCGCCTTCCCAGTCCAGCATCTTCCCCAGGTGTGTGCTCAGAACACACCAGACTGAGGCCCTTGTGGCCCAAATGGGATGAGGAGAGACATTCCCACAGTACAGTCACTGCAGACACCAAAATGGCAGCTTCAAGAGGGGGTCACCCTAGGGCATGCAAGACACCAGACCCTAGTTCCCAGTTCCGTGTGCTGGGACAGAATCCAAGGTGCTTATCTTAACAGCAGATGTGGGCACAGGTCTGTGGAAGGTTCCCCCAGGAGGCTTGGGAGGGTAAACCAGGAGGTGCCCTGGGACATGCATCTAGACTATGGGGAACCTGGCTCCTGAAGGGGGCAGAGTTCTGGTTAAATACATGACAAAGGGCCTCCCTGGTGGCGCAGCAGGTTAAAGCACAGCACCAGGAGGCTAAAGCCACACTGCAGCATGAGTTTGATCCCCGCCCTGGAGGTGACCACATGGCGTGGCAGACCTCTCCTGTCTCTCCCACTGCTCCCCTCAGCAGTGTACTTTGTCAATCTGCCTGTTCTGCTCCCCACTCTGTCTCTGATGAAGCCTCTCACACCCTGCACCTCTGGCCTGCACCCCAGTTCTGTATGCATAAATAATCTTTTTTTAAAAAAAATACTGGAGGCACTCCCTGTGCATAGGGAGGGGCTTTATGACCCAGAGGAGAATGATCAAAGACATTCCTCAAATAAATCCTATCTGTCCAAAGACCCCCAGACTACCCACCCATCCCTTCCAGAAGCCTCTAGGTCCCCAAGCTGGCTCCACCTCAGGGCCTTTGAGTATTTGGTCTTCTCTGCTTGAAAGGCCCTTCCTTCCCTGTGACTGGCTCTTTACCCCCAGGGTAAAGAACCTTTGCAAGGACACTCCCTCCCTCATCCTTATCCCTCTCCTAGCCCTAGTCACCCTCAGATACTCACTGGTTTGTTGGAACCTTTGAGGGTGGCACCAATCAGGGCTGTGTCCGGTGTCAACACCAGGCAGGAAGTGGGGGCTTGCTGACTGACAGCAGAGGGAACCCTCCCTACTCTGGTGTGGATGAAAAGTTATCTCGACACCCCAGGCCGAGAGATACCTGCCAGGACCCTGTCTCACTCATTCTGTCTTCCTCACCTTCTCTGTGGCCCTGTGTCTGCATCGCCATGTTCCCCACTATCGCCTCTGCTCACTATTTCTGTCTCCCCTCCCTGTCTTAGTCTCTCATCTCTGTCTCACCCACTGTTTCTTTGTCTCTCTCGGTCACCTCTCTCTGTCTCTCAGTCTCTGACTCTCACCATCTCTGTCTCCTGCCCTGACCCTGAAAGGGTCTGGACGTGAGGTGACAGGCCAGCAAGGCACCCGCCTGTTTTCCGCCCTCGCTGGCAGGGGGCCCAGCTGGGCTGCTATTCAGGAATCTTCCGGCCACTCAGCTCCAGCCACCAGGCGCAGCAGCCACCGTGGCCTCTCCTCTCAGCACATTCTGTCCCGAGCAAGCAGGGCGCACTGGGGGTGGTGGGAGGGGGCTGTGTTCCTGCTGGGTTCTAGTTACAGGACAGCTTGTCCTGGTGACCCCTCTTCCCACCAGGGCTGCCCCGATACCTCCCCTCCCTATTCTGGGATTAGATCTTCCTGAATATTGTCCCTCTGCCTGCTCATCCCCACCTCAGCACCTCTGCACCTCTGTGCTTCCCCCCAGGAGTTCCCTCTGCACAGGTCTCCCCTGCAGGTGTCATCACTTCATACACAGGTCACCGAGATCCCTTCCCCATCCTCAGCCCAGAGCTCCCCCTAACCCGGCCCTGATACCTTTTGCTCCCTGACCTTTCCCTCTCCTCAGACGTACATGTTGACTTGTTTGTTCGGGTGATACATGCTACCCCAGGGCCCCCCTGCGTCTCCAGCTCCAGGCACACACAGTCACAGCTCCATGAATATCTTAGAATTGACAGTATTTCCTCCCAAAGCTCTGCTCTGCCTGGGGCCACCCAGGCTCACACAAAGCTCCCCAGCGAGGCTCCTCCGCCAGGGAGGCTCCAGGCCCGGCCTGACCACCCAGCTCCTACCCCTGGTGACCTGATGCTCCATGGCTATTTCCTGTGCCCTTGCTGCTGCTCCCTGTGTCCAGACACACCAGTAATTTCCCAGCCCTCACACCTTTGCCCAGGAACCACGCCCACCTGGGGCACCTTTTCCAGCCAGGGGTTGCTCCCTGTCCTTCAGGCGCTGCCCACCAGGGCAGGGTAGCCAGGATCTCATGGCACATGCAGAGACACAAATGGGCCATCGAGCGTGACTCACATGGCCGAGACCTCCACTAACAGACCAGCACCTGCGTGTCCACATGTGTGCGTGCAATTAGCTAACGCCTCTCTAACAGATACAACAGCGATCACACTCACCGCAGATCCAGGCACCGTGTGGCCAGGGCCTGGTGAGTGCTTGAGGAGTGTGCACTGATGCATGCATGGAGCCCCCCAACTTTTATTTTTTTAAGATTTTATTTATTTATTCATAACTGAACTGAGGTACAACCCAGAGGTGCAGGGGTGGTGAGAAGACTCAGCACTCAGAGAGGGGAGCAGAACAGGCCGACTGACGAAGCACACTGCTGAGGGGAGCAGCGGGAGGGCCAGGAGAGGTCTGCTGTGCCATGTGGGTCAGCTCCGGGTCTGGGATCGAACTCGCACTGAGGCCACTGCAGCCAGCTTGCAGTGCTGTGTCCTAACCTGTGGCGCCATCAGGGAGGGCCTGAGCTCCCCAACTTTAAGGAGGAGGGGTATGGCTCCCCTGTGATGGGGTGGGACGGGGAGACAGGATGTGGGATTGAACCCTTGTGAGAGTGAACAAAAATTTGCCTACATGAGCCTCTGTCCTCACTTCCCCGACCCAGAAGTCTCCTTTTTGATGTTCAGGGAAAGCCAGGAAAAGTCCCCAGTAAGCATCGACTGGGCAAGGGGCCCAGGAGCGAGCGTGACTCAGCCGGAGGCCATCAGTGCCTGCCACACAGGGCGGCCCTGTCTCTGCAGGGTGTGGGGAGGTGGGATATGGTTCACAGGGAACAACAAAGGATGGGGGTGGGATAAATGGGAGCTGCTGAGCAGGGATGGGGGTAGGGTAGCTGGCACGTCTGGACTGGCCTTCTGTACTCCAATACCAGACCCATTCACAGCTAGAGAAACTGAGGCACAGAGAACTGGTGACTTGCCCAGTGTTCCCGAACTAAGATGGGACAGGCAGAGGACTATTCACACTCTGCCTAGTCCATTTCCTGGCTCCAGGTGTGGACATGTGACCAGGTCTGGCCAATAGGGGGTCACCATAGCCATCACACTGAGGATTATAGAACAGTTCCAAGGCATTATTGTGGAGTCACAGACACCCCCGGCACTGTGGAGTTGGGGCGGGCCCTGTGTGGCAGGCACTGATGGGGAGGGGAGGGGCTGGAGGGCCTCAGGAAGGTTTCCAGGGGAGAGGGCACCAGAGTTGGGGCTTTGATGGATGGAGAGGAGTTCACCTGGGAGCTAGAGAAAGGCATTCCAGGCAGAAGACTAGTAAGCAGGTGAAGAGAGAACCACAATGGCGCTATGAGACTGGAGCAGAGGGAGAAGTTGCAGACATGTTACTTTATTTATTCCTGGATTGCGTTCTCCCACTCCTACCAGCCTCCTGAGGGTGGGACTGGATTTGCTTTGCTTGAAATTGATGCTGTTAATGTTTATGACATAGATGACCATACTTTTTTTTTAAGATTTATTATTTATGCATACAGAACTGGGGTACAGGCCA